CCTGATGAACTGTTACAAGCAGTAGCAGATAATAAGTACTACTGTGGGTTTGATTGTAATGCTGGATTTTGGCAAGTGCAAATGCATGAAGACTCGGTGGAGAAAACTGCGTTTATTACGCAGGACGGCCTCTACGAGTTCCTCAGAATGCCGTTCGGTGTCTGTAATGGCCCTGCAACGTTTCAGGAAGCCATGAATAGGACATTGTCGGACGTCCATAGCGAAAATATTTTCGCTTATTTGGATGATATTATTGCAGCCGCTAAGGACTTCGAGGATCTTAAACGTAAAATACGTTTAATGTGTGAGTGCCTTTTAAAGGCTGGTTTCACACTGAAACCGAGTAAGTGCCATATTGGCGAGACAGAACTGCATTTCCTTGGGCATATTGTGTCCAAGGATGGGATAAAAACAGATCCCAATAAAATAGCAGCTATTGAAAAATACCCGAAGCCAGAGACAGAGAAAGATCTGAGGTCATTCCTCGGACTGTGTAATTATTACCGTAAATTTGTTAAAGATTTTGCCGGTAGAACACGTCGTCTATACGGCTTATTAAAAGGAGAAATTGACGTGAAAGCGAACTGGTCGACCGACCATGACAGTGAATTTGCTGATTTAAAATCCGCACTAATTAATGCGCCAGTACTGGCGAAATTCGATCCCAGTAAACCGACCGTAATTGAATGCGATGCATCGACAATAGGAATTGGTGCTATATTACACCAAGATGGACATCCGATTATTTATGCGAGCAAATTGCTCACTGATGCTGAGAAAAAGTATCCGATTACGGAACTAGAGTGCATGGCAGTAGTTTTTGCGTGCCGGAAATTTCGGCACTTTATTGAGTACTCGCATTTCTCAGTACAGACTGACCACCAGGCTTTAACTAATTTGCTGCGATCGGTTTCCCGCAAGGAGGGATTAAATGGCCGACTAACACGCTGGGCACTCCAGCTCAGTAGTCACAAAATGACCATATTGTACAGACCGGGAAAACAGTGTGACAACGCTGATGCGTTGAGTAGACACCCGGTGGGAGAAGCTATTGAATGCCCAGACGATGACTGGGATGAATTCAAGGATTCTAAATTTAGTACTCCGTCCATTCGTGTAGTAACGATCAGGGATGGAGCTGAACATGAGGAAGATGAAGATAACTTTAAATTTTATCGCATCGAACAAGAAAAAGATCCCAATGTGGAGCGCATAATTCACGCGTTAGAAGGACGCGTGGAAAGCGTACATTTATTAAAACGACCCGGTTATTCCGGTTACGAATTGTGGAACGGAGTATTATATAAAATCTCTGAGAAAGACGGCAGAATTAATCGCCGATTTGTTGTGCCAAAGCACATGAGAGTTGAAATCATGCATGCAATGCATGATGCACCAGCTAGCGGTCATCTAGGCCGCGCCAAAACTTATCAGGCGATCGCCTTGCGATATTTCTGGGAGAATATGACCTCTCAGATGATCAAATACGTAGATCAGTGTTTTGCATGCCAACATCGCAAGACACTGCGCAAAGCGCCACCAGGCAAGCTACAGCAGATTGCTATCGGCGAGCCGTGGTTTAGAATGCAAGTGGATTTGAAAGGGCCATTGCCCAAAACAACACGGGGAAATACCTATATCGCCGTGGCGATAGATGAACTTACGAAATTCGTAATTGCAAAACCGATACCCGATGCAAAAGCGGAAACTGTCGCTAATTTCTTGATTTACGATGTGTTCCTACCGTACGGAACACCACAAATATTGAACACAGATAGAGGAACACATTTCCATAATTATTTATTGGAAGCCATAAATAAACGCTTAAGAATACAGCACCATTTTGGTGCTGCGTATCACCCGATCGGGCGAGGACTTGTAGAACGACAAATGCAGACAATTGCCGATTCACTCGCGATGTACGCCAGTGACGGTCGAGAACGTAATTGGGACAAAGTCCTACCATTTGTAATTGCTGGAAAGAATCGTGTAGCGAATAAGACGACAAATCTGTCGCCGTATTTTATGCTATATGGTAGAGAGCAGGTTATTCCTGCGATACTGAAACTAAGACAAATCTACCGCCAGACCATGCGACAATTCGCGAATATATGGAAGAACTGCGCTATAATCTGAATCGCGCACACGATATAGCAGAATTGCACATCCGAAGCGAGTTTGAGAAAAATGCCGAGCGTTTCGACAAGGGTCGATCGGATGACACCTTTAATATTGGTGATCGTGTAATTCTCAAAATAGAGAAGAAGAAGGGCGAGACAGAATCATTTCGTCGCAGATTTGAGATCGAACCATGGGAAATCATCGGATTTCCGTACACAAACGCAGTAGAATTAAAACGGGTAAATCCCGATAAAACAGAAGAAATACGCATCGTAAATTGCGAACGTATTAAACCGTATAAAACCACGGAAGAAGACCGTGAAAACGAAACTTTATCAATTAAGGATTTATTGGATAATCATAATTTGACTGAACTCCCCCCAAATGAGGTAGTCCATGCCTCCGCAGATAATTCTGCTAATAATTCCCCCACTAATGATGTGGTCCGTACCTCAGCAGAAAACTCTGCAGTACCAGAAGCAGATAACTCAGCGATCGCTGAAGAAAATAATTCTGAAACTCAAGACGAATGGGAAACTGTAAATGCAGTGGAAAATACCCGTAAGCGCAATGCCGCTAATAAACCGTCAGTTAAAAAACGACTTTTATTGCGAGTGCGCAAAGGTGCCAATGGCTACACTCATTTACCTAACGCTGGTAAAATCAATTATCTCGTAATTGAGATACCCCGTGAAATACTAAAATAGTATTTTTTTAGACTTATTTCACCGGAGACGCGATACCCCGCATTAACAACAGTTTGAAACAACTTAAGTAATGAAGTAAAACTGCAGAGATGCGATATCTCGCGTCAGCATATTGAAAATTAACGGAGATGCTATCCCGCATTTGATACCGTAATTACATAACGATCGTTATTTCAGGACACAGCAGGTGTCTCACAAACCGTCAAAATAATTTTCCCGACGATAGCTCCGAAGCAAAGACTATGTCTGCCGTATTAGGCGATGCCTTTAAAGTACTAAACGCAGAAACGCAGGTAAAACCGCCGTAGATGCATTAAATGCATTGAATGAACAGTAATAAATTGCCGTAAAAAGTATATTACTTCAATCGTCGTAAAAGTGCAATGAACGATAATCGTCGTATTACACAAAGTGCAAAATAAGCGCCGTAGTACACAAAGTGAAATCGGATATTTAACCGCCGTAGAAAGCCCAAAGAGTGCTTAAAGTTGAATTTATTTCAATTAATTCCTAAACTACAATGAATCGCCGTAGAAGCACAAATAGTGCACACTACACAGTTTAACGAATTGCCGTAGCGCATTGAATGCTTGCAAACGGATAAGAATCGCCGTAGATGCACTGAGCTGCAAAGATGTCGTGGATCAACGCAACAATGCGTATTATTGGAGGATAAATCTCCGGAATGGGACTGGGAAATTAACACGGATTGACACGTGGAGTTTGGATTTAACCGGAATAATTTTACCGGATTTTGTAACGAGTTTAACTCGTTTTGATTAATTTTTCGCCGCATTTTGCCGCGTTTTGTTCTCACTAACTATGATGGAATGAGATTGCACATTTTTTTTGTTAAAACGCTGAATTAGCGTTGCGTTTTGATACATTTTCTCATTTTTTTTTTATTCCTGTGAGCCTCGAGGGACCTCGGCATCCCGCCCCGTGGCATGTCAGAGTGCCGTGCATAGAGCACAGGATATTGGCACATATGCCTCACCACACCATCGGCTTGCTATTTTGCCATCTTCACACACGATAAAGCGTGTGTTTGCCAGTTGGGTGCCAGCATCGGTACTGACAACGTCAGTACTTTCAGCATGGAGATGTTTTTGTGCCCTTTCTCCTTTAGATTTTGCATCTGATGTGATTTTAGCCTTTATTTTCATTGAAATAAAAGCGATTTGTTCGAGGAGATGTTGTTTCCGTTGTCGTTTCTCTGTACAGCGTAGACGCTTCTCCGAGAGCATTATGTTTTTTTAAAAAGACAGTTGTAAAACCAATGGAATATGCAGCAGTCTCCTAAGAATTCAATCGTGCAGTTTTTACAACTTTTTAAGAACAGTCGGAAGAATTGATTCAGGTGTTGGTTACGCTGATTTAATAATAATCAAAACTCTCCGTAAGCCATTTACCGGCATCCCAGCAGATCCGAGATACGATAGCAAGCGGACCCACAAGAACAAAGGAGGATATTCAAGGTATACATGGGTGCCATAAAAAACCGCCAAGATAACTCGCGGTATATAGCACAGTAGCGTCCACGTATGGGCTCCGCACAAGATCTTAGACATCAGGATTCCCTCCGCATAGCGACGCACAACCACACTGTTAGGCACTTCGAAAGACGCATCATGCCGCTTTTTAGCCAGAAACAGTGCCACAGCCGCGTACGCCATGACCGCTCCAACGGCAGGTAGGATCAGCGACAGGGCGCCGTTAAACTGGTAATAGATGCGCCATCCTTTGGTGACAGGCTTCACGTGACAAAAACCCCACGGCTGCATATAGTAGGCCTTCATCCCGTGCGTCGCCGCCAGTGGACCAGCCATGCCGATACCGATAATCCAGCTGACCGCCACGCTAATCAGCACCGCACGGCGGTTCGTGAATCTTTTGCAAGAGTGTGGAAGAGCGACGGCCGTTAATCGATGGATACTTAAGAAGAAAGTGACCCAACAGGCGACAGCGCCAACTATGTCGTATATAGTGTAGAAAACGAGGCAAACACTGCGTGACAACTTCAGCGATTCATTGTAGTTGGTCACAGTGAATACCGGCTGGATCACTGCGTTTACAACAAAGATGATTAGGAGCAGCTGGATCACCAAAATATGCGAGGCTTTATAGAGGAGATTCTGGACAACAGTCGCCGCAATCAGCAACAGGCACGTGATGGAACTAAAGGCGGTTACAGCGTGCGTGGCACAGTACCATATGGTCAGCATGCTGGGAAATTGGTGGCGAGCCGGGAAGTATGTACCGTTTGAAAATGATGAGTTCGTATATAAAAAAGATGCGTTGATGGAATCGGCCATGTAAAACTCATGAAAAAAACGAACATCACCAAGTGGTCCGCGCTCTGAAATTCTGGTTAAAAAATCCGCATGATGCAGCAGTTAGCCGGTAAGAAAATAATCGACAAATTCTGTTCCGGTTTTGATGAAGCGGAAGGCAAAAATTAGTGTGCATGTACCGCTCAATCTTGTCTTTCCCTGGTTCTCTAAAGCGAAAAGCTTTTTCGAGAGATCATTCCTCGGTGATCTAAGCAAGCAGTAGTAATTACACCACCGTAATTATCTAGTCCTGGGTGCTTCCAACTCCGGTATAGTTACCGGAAGGCGCAGGTTTAGTAAAGCGGCACTCTTACAGTCTTACTGCATAGCTTCCCGAACACTCGAATTTTCCAAAAGATTGATGATGGGCTACAGAAAATTAGAAATCGTAGTTTCAGCTGAATCACTGGAAATGTAGGAACGTGATTATTATGAAGGTTCTCCGGCTAAGGAACGCCCACATATATGATTCTGTCCTTGTAATGAAAGTATCGATTTTTTAGGCAAATATCGATATGCTGAAAAAATTTTGTTAAAAGAAACTTTATATAGTCAATGTGTTGAAAGAAATACTTTTTGTCAAAATGCTGAAAGAAATTTTTTAGAGCAAGCTAATGTTATTTTAGCAAACTGTTGTGGTGCTTGTGACGGTGTAGCTCGTGTATGTGTGTAAATTCATATTATGCACAATGCTGAAATCCGGAAATTTTTCAGCAATTTGACCGCACATCGAATGTTCGACTGAAAGCCGGAGCAAAGGTTGGCCCAGTCAGTCCCTGTGCGGCAAGGCCCAACAGAAGTAAAAACAACGGAATCAGTTTTTCGCCAACAGGAAGGTATTCACCGTTTCTCTGTATGCGTAAAGGTCCAGTCGTATTGTACACCGATTTCCTAGCGCAGTGATTTGGATCTGTCGGAGCAGTTCTGGCTGTCATTATCAAGCGCAATAAGTTTCGGCATTACTGCCGTTACCGAAAGCAATACCTGTATATATGTGCAGTATTTCTAATTATGTATCATTTATGAGATAAACACTAGCCGCCACAGCAAAGAAAACTTTGTACGCTGTCGCGCGGTAATTACACCTGAAGTACCGGTATGACTGTACCTTACGTCAATTTATTCGAATTCAGCGGAATGCAGGTGACATGGTCTGAAAATGCAGATTATCTATGTATGCGAAATAATCACCGCGAAAGCATGCCGCACAAGCACAGTATAATGATGTGCATAATTCTTTCAGACGTATTATAGGTCTATTAATGGTTGTCAGTGACAAGCCTCGCTGCCGCAAAAATGTGGCAGCCGAAATTTAGTGACTCGCTTCCATTTTTCTTGATATTTGGTACACTCAAAACCAAAAGCATCTGCATAATTAACTTTGAGAACAAAATTTTTTCCTGTATACAAAAGTGAATTAGAAAAAAAGCAAGGCAGAAACGTTAAGAGATTGTTGCCGATTCTGTAGAAAATGCATAAATATAGAGAGAGTTCTCAAAACCGTTCAAATAAATAAATATTTAGTTCTCAAAACCGAAGAAAAAACACAAATCAGTTTCTATCTTTTTGTTTTGCGCTATATATCTGTGTTGTCTGTTGTTCCAATTTGGCGCGTGTTCCTCTTGGGAAGGATAAATCGCAGACATTTCGTCACCCCTTCCCGGTATGCTTTTCCAAGAGCGAGAAAAATTACCTGAGAAATAGCAATGCAAAGTGTTAGATACTTTGATGTAAACCACAACGCAAAACCGTGGAAATTTTAATACTGGTAAAATTGACGTAATTAGGAATGGAAACCTTGTTTAGCGAGACAATCATAAAACGTGCTTGCCTTAGGTACTTACATATACTACAGTAGTATAGCTCTACAGTAACAACGCAGTTTAATATGCCCGATGCCGCTTCCTGTACGTCGCTTGGCTTGACCGGCTCGTTCCACAAGTACCGAAAGCTATTTAATTTACAAACGCACATACTTATATTTTCAGATGTTTGCAATGTAAATAAAGAATATTCAATCTAATATTAAGTGCTTTACTAAAATTAAATGAAAATATTTTTATACTAAATTTCGGCAATTGGCGCTTACGGGCGTTCCGACCGATCCGACATAAGAAAACCAGCGGATCCACAGCACCAACGAAGGATAGCCCTGATAGATCCGCGGTCCGTAGAAAATCGACAACGCAATCCTGGGCACATAGCAAACAATGCCCCATAAGCAAGTGGCAAACAGAATCTTGGATATCAGCAAACGACCGGCCGAACGCCGTACAAATGCACTACTAGGCACATTGAAGCTACCATTACTCCGTGCCGTGTTACGCTTTCTGGTTAGCACCATGGTCATGGCCGCATAGGAGATGGCGGCCCCGGCAGCCGGTATCATTACCGACACCGCACCGAACAAATGGAAATACAGCATACCGCCACGCGTCACCGGTCGGACATCGCAGAATCCCCAGGGTTTGGCGTAATACGACGCGATCCCTGGATCAACCGCCATGGGCATGCTGATACTGATCCCGATGATCCACACCACTGCAATGCTGATCAAGACGGTGCGGCGGGTGGTCAGTTTAGTTTGTGAATGGGGCAGGGTGACCGCCAATAAACGGTTCAGGCTGAGAAAGAAGGTTGACCAGCAGGCCACCGATCCGAAAGCGCTGTACAGGACATACATCCCGCGGCAGGATTTCGGTGACAGCTGAAGGGCGTCAAAGGAGCCAACAATTGTGAAGATTGGCTGAATTACGGCATTGATAACAAAGGTGACCAGCAGTAGATGGACGACGAGAATGTGGGACACTTTGTAGACGAGTTTCTGGACAATGGTGGCTGCAATAAGCAGCAAGCATAAAATAGACCCAAAGGATGTAATGATGTTGGATCCATGAAACCAGACAGTAAGCAGTCCAGGAAACTGTTCACGTGCAGGAAACCTGGCTGCATGTGATATATTAGACGAATATGAGCTGGTTGGTAAAGAATTGTTGCCTTCCATCTTCAAAAAGTTATGAAACCCTGTTGCTTCAGAGGCAGAATATCTGACTATGAGCTACACGATCCGCCATCCGCCGCCATCTACATGATCTGCCATTCGACCTTTCACTGAGATTCATCCCGAATGAGATGCAGTGACTCATTTTCCGAATGGAAGTCTAAGAATTGCGGTTGGCACTAGACACTTACCGCTGCGGGATGATCATTAATTTCCCAGGGTTTCTACGAAACGCGGAGCCCGCCGGTGCCACCTTAATTACGGCAAATAAGGGAGCTCCTGTGGCGGCATTTATTCAGTCGAACGCGTGCCTTATAATCATTGCTCTGTGAATGCGCACAACATTCATAGCTGCCAATTTTGAGGTTGCGGCAGAAAATGACTCGCTCATCGATCTAAGTTCCGTATACCTGCAGCTTATAGAATCTCGTCTTTAAGAGACAAGTTCGAAAACAAAATTATCAGTAATGGAGAGATGTGGGAATTGATCACGAGAACACCTAGCTTATGAGACTTCCGACAAGTACGCACGAACGCACACGCGGTATGAGCCTTCGGAGGGAATTCTTGATACTTACTGCGCTACTGGTAAGGAGCCTTTATCAAAAATAACGGCGGAAATTAGGAATGAGTGACATTTTCTCTTCATCATCATGACAGGAGCCAAGTAACTGCAGAATGTCAAATTCAGTAAAGCCATTTGTCAGCACCCAGCCGCCGGACGGTCTCTCGTGTATGTTAATGGTCTTGTTGTTTACCATGAACAGTATTCATCTGCGCCGGTAGGCGGTATATCCTTTTTGTTTCTGCTTCACGTCGTCAATTGTTGTTTAGCTGCACATTTTGTGTTCATAGCACCTCGTAAAGCATATTGCTTGGGTGTAGTAAAATGTATAACGGGGTATACCATATGCCGTACTGTATCCTTCCCGAATCTGTGTGAAGTTGTGAACTACTCTGTATGAGACACAGTATTTTAACTAAAGTGAAACTTGCTCTTGTGGCGCACTGCCCAAATGTCGATCGAGCACGTGAACATCGGTTTTAGTGTAACTGCTGAATTTATTGTTTATTTTGCTTTCGCTTTGTTTGGTTAGCACAGGTTTTCTTATGCATCAAGAAACCCCATTTAGTCCACTAAGAATTGTTATAATGTGTTCAAATTTAAAAATATTTTATATTATCTGGGAATCGTCGCTCACTCCGATTCGACGGGTAGGTCTCTTGCAAAGAACAAGCCGAACACATTTAACCACTCCTTCCCGGTACGATTTTCCAAGAACGAGAAAAATTATCTGGAAACGTAAAACAATGATCCAGTAAAGCGTTGAAATAATTGCGCTTGTTTTCGTAATTGCATTCGACTGTAGATACTAAGAAAGCAGTACTGTACACATTAACATGCCAATAATTGTCGATATGCCTAGCTTGTTTTTGCTTAGGCCCCTTTTCCTGTGGGTGCTTAGTCAGTAGAATGAAGCAAAACAACCTAACTCATAAACGCATTAATTGTGATTTAAACCTGCCCTATGACTTTATGTGAAAATTTCGTATTTAATTACCGGCGTTCCAACTGAGCCGACATAGGAAAACCAGCGAATCCACAGCACCAACGGAGGATAATCCTCGTGGATTTTTGGTCCATAGAAAACCGACAAACCAATTCGAGGCGCATAACAAGCGATGCTCCATGCACACGTGGCGAATAAGATTCTGGACATTAACAAGCGACCGGCTGACCGACGCACCAGCGCACTATTGGGTACACTAAAACTGACGCTACGTCGCGCTGTATTGCGCCTCCGGCTCAACACCACGGTCATCGCCGCATAGGATACTGCGGCACCGGCCGCCGGCAGCATAATGGACATGGCACCGTACAAATGGAAATACAGCCGTCCGCCTCGATTGACCGGTCGCACATCGCAGAACCCCCAGGGGTGTGCGTAATACGCACTGATTCCCGGATACACGGAGATCGGCATGTTGACACTGATGCCAGAAGATAGATGTCTAATAGGCTGCGAACCTGGTTGAGCGGCATCCCCTCTGCTGCGAAACCTAATTATTAATATTAACTAATATTAATCTTATCAGTACACACCATAATTAATATTAATCTTATCAGTACACACCACCTGTCACGCTATGACTCACAGTGGGAAACAACCAGTTTGCACAATACAACGGCCGGTCAGCCGCGTACAGCACTGACCGGCAACACCGCTACTCACCGCAACACTTGCCACTTGTATACAACAGCGCGCTTGCCGCGCGTACAACCGGCTTTGCAACAACACACTGACCGCGCACATACAACCGGCTGATGCAATCAACATCAACACTGGCATAAGCCGGTGAGTCATACACACTGAAAGATTCCACTATCAGCAAACGACATCATAGTGGTCAACTGACCACTTGTACAATATATAACTAAACACACGCAGTATTATACAGATTCATTTGACTTGATTTTGCACAATCGTTCGCTTACAACGATATTATTTGTACACTGTGTGACTATTACAATCTGCACTTTTTGGACATTGACTGTTTCGATCAACCGCATCTTTTACCATCTGCACAAGTCTACGGGTAAGTAATACTGTAATTCCGTTTAGGTGACACAAGTAATGCAGTATATATGAAATTTTTTCGGATTAATCTACAGATACAGGAATGGATATGGACAGTATTATACAGTACTACACAGACTTTCTACGCAAGTGGTTGGATAGCACATTCCCGAGTTTAACGACAGTTTCACGGTCAAGGAAATTGCGACACTGTACGGGGAAGATGATCTACGCCAAAAATTTCAACGTGAAGAATTGGACAGAGCTATGGACGCCATTAATGCTGATGGTATGTACATACAGTACCGTATTTAAACTGGCAATAACACATATGTGCACATGATAATATTATAAGTGTAGTATATATTATATGTGTAGTTTACATGCACTGTGTACATACGTACGTACGTAAGCATAGAATACAATCAAGTACTTACATATGCACTTACGAACATCATCGTATAAGTATGTACAGATACTTACTGTATGTAATGTGTTAGTACTACAATGTAGTATGTTATATATCATACGTACAACATTATATTGTTATAGAACTCTTTCGTGCAATGGAAGAAGATGGAGAATGGATAGACAACACTCCAACTTATCAACAACCTGCGCCTGCCACCATGGAAGTCGACGACCCGGCATTACATACAGTACCTCAGGATGCCATTGATGAATATATCAACAACGTCATGGCTCAGCATACGCAAAGCGGAACAACTGTTACCAACGAAGAAGTGGACGCATTCATAGACCGGATTATGCAGGGCTCACCTGAAGACGATCAAGTTGACGGTGTTCAAGCGGGCGGAAGTGGTAACGATGCAGAGATTGCAAAAGAACCAGAACCAGAAGAGTTGGACATAACAGACTTCGAAAAACGTTTTGACTGGAAGTCTCTGTTCACGCTGAACAAAGAGGGTCAGACGGAGACGAAAAAGTTTCACCACATCAAGTATCGGTACAGTGTACAGGTTGCTCCGCTGCCGCAAATTTTTACTCCCAAGCTGTCAGTGTTCGCTATGCCTCACATTTTCCAAGCGATTCTGGATTTGTGTACAAAGGATTTTCGGCCAAACGATCGCATAATAATCACCCTTTTGAGCGATTCCTTGGATCACCCGATGTATCTTAGCATGCGAAAGTTCGGTCAGTTTAACATCGACGCACTGATGCAAAAGTTCACCTTACTGAACTCCAAACACAAGTTCTGCATTGATGAAAGTTTTGGCATTTTAATCGATCGTACCATTATCCCTTCTGGTGGAAAACGCAGAGTACATATTCACAGCTCAATGGACAGAAAGAGGTTCAGCACTTCAATCGTACAGGTTCATGTGGACAACAACTTATGCCTGCCAGCCAGCCTAATATTGGGTCGCTATTACCATACAGAAGGAACTCAAGGACAGCAGTGGGGTGCTCTCACTGATCGACGTCGAAAAATTCTGAAAAGAGATGCAGGCAAGCTAGTGGAAGAAGCCGGTTTACGCGTTGGGGATAGATTTAGTCTGGACGATATCGTCACCTTCCAACAGACCGTCTTGCCGGAATTTCAGATTAAAGTAATTTCCGTTCCAGACAGAAACCTAGTTATTGCCAAAGTTCCAGAAAAGAAAGAGCGTGGAATGAAAGTTATATATCTTTTGTACGAGAACAACCATTTTGATTTGGTAACAAAGCCTACGGGATTCTATTGCACCAGCTACTACTGCCAGGACTGTGACAAAGCATACTCTCGTAAGTGTGAACACCGATGTGAAGGAAAGTGCAACCTGTGCTACCGCTTTCGCGATGAATGCATGATTGAAGAAGAAGTGGATTGTGAAGACTGTGGACGCATTTTCAATAACCAGGTATGCTTTAACATACACAAGAAGAAAAGAAAAAACGACAAAAGCTACTGCGACCAGCTGTTTGTTTGTGCGGAATGTAGTACATTCGTGAACATGACCCGGAGACCAGATGACACTCACCGATGTAACGAAATGCACTGCATGACCTGCAAAAAATGGGTACCGCAAGCGAATCATAGATGCTATATGAAACCGCTAGAAGAAAAAGAGTATCCAGCTGTTCCTCGTCATAAAAATTTTGACTACGAGACATATGTGGACGAAGACGGACTGCATCGCCCTTGTTACGTGGTTGCTCAATACCCTTCTGGAGAAGAATTCCGCTTTCCACCGGACGGAACTCCTATGGCTAACTATGACGTAGCTAACGAATTCGGCAAGTGGGTTTTCCGAGAGGACCATCGCGGTTATACACTAGTAGCGCACAACCTGCGAGGATACGATGGACACTTTCTCCTAGCATACCTTCTGGATAATAACCTGAAGGGAGTAGAAGTCACGCGACGAGGTACACAACTTCTCGACATACGATATCGATCTCTTGAAATATGCTGCAGAGACACACTGAATTTTGTGGCCACGAAACTATCGAAATTTCCTAAAGCTGTCGGCCTGGAAGATGTTCAAGTCAAGAAAGGTGAATTCCCCCATCGATTTAACAAACCTGAGAATTGGGACAAAGTTTTACCATTTCCGGATTTGACACTGTACTCAAGTGAAGGTCTCATGAAAGCCGACCGTGAAAAACTGGCAAAATGGCATGCTGAAGAAAGTTTGAAAAAAGATCATCTGTTCGATTTTCGGGAAGAAATTTCTAGCTACTGCGCGAACGATGTCACGGTCCTGAGAAGATGTGCTCTGAAATTCCGCCAAAATTTTATGGACCAGACGGCTATTGATCCATTCACAAGCATGACAATAGCTTCAGCCTGCCAAACGTACTACCGCACACATGTCCTTGAAGAGTCTGAAATTGGTATCATTTCCAGCAACGGTTACCAAGCGAATAGGAAAAAGAGTAAGCAAGCCACTCAATGGCTAGAATGGCTCAAAGAGACCATACCGACAATCCAGCATGGCCGCGATGGTGTCAGTCGAGAAAAACGTATTGGAAAGTATTTTGTCGATGGCTATGACCCCGCGACCAAAACGGTTTATGAATATAACGGATGCGTTTTTCACGGGCACCCTATCTGCACCTGCGAAGACGATAGGGCACCATTTTCCAATCGAAAGATGCGGGAGCTATACGAAGAATGGACACGAAAAAAAGATTATTTGGAATTTCGTGGTTACAAAGTGGAAGTCAAGTGGTCTTGTGACTGGGTGCGCGAGCGAACGGAACCCACAATTGCAGCATTTTTAAAGAGCATGGAACTGCGTGATCCACTGAAGCCGCGTGATGCCTTTAAAGGAGGCCGTACCAATGCTGCAAAACTTTTCCATGAAGTCGGGCCAGGCGAAAAAATTATGCACCAAGACATTGTGTCTCTATACCCTTATGTGAACAAGACATGCGAGTATCCAGTCGGACATCCACGGATAATTATTTCAAATTTCCAGCCGGTGGAAGAATACTTTGGTTTTGTGTATTGCAAAGTCCTGCCACCGGATAATCTATATTTCCCAATTCTGCCAGCCACCGTAAATGGAAAATTGACGTTCAGTCTGTGTGCAAAATGTGCTGACACTGCTCAAAACGACTATTGCCGCCACACAGACGAGGAAAGAGCTCTTGAAGGCGTGTGGTGCACCACCGAATTACATCACGCCCTAAAGAAAGGCTATAAAATGATGGACATGTATGAAGTTTGGCACTGGGACAGTCGTAAAAAAGGCCTTTTCGCTGAATATGTGAACAAATTTCTTAAAGAAAAACTGGAAGCCTCTGGATGGCCACAGGATTGTATTACTGAAGAGCAGAAACAAAAGTACCTTGCTGATATTGAAAAGCGTGAAGGTATAACGCTGGATCCGGAGCGGATAGAAGACAATCCAGCACGAAGAGCCGTAGCCAAGATCATGTTAAACTCCTTTTGGGGAAAATTTGGGCAACGCGACAATTTCCAGGAGACCTTGTTCATTAATTCTGCAAAGCAATATTTCGATCTTCTACGCTCCGAAGCCATAGAAATTCACAGCGTGCATGCTGTAAATGCCAATACCATGATGGTCACCAAATCGAAAAAGGAGGATTTCATCGAAGGCAGTAATTCTGTGAACATTGCCATCGCCGCCTTTACGACTAGCCATGCTAGGCTTAAACTACTTAATCGCATGGAAAAGTTGGGTGAGCGAGTTCTGTATTATGACACTGATTCAGTAATTTTCACATGCAAAGAGGACCAGTGGATGCCCCAAACCGGTACGTTTTTGGGTGACTGGAGCAATGAGTTGGAGCATGGTGAAACACACATCACAAAATTTGTGTCTTGCGGGCCGAAAGTTTACAGCTACCAGACCAATACGGGTCGGGTTGAGCTCAAGGCTAAAGGCTTGACGCAGAATGGATACACTGAGGACATTATGGATGTGGATCTTGTACGAACGGGAGAGCAGCTTAATTTCGACAAGTTGAAAAGTATTCTAAGCGGAGAGACCATTCAAGTAGTCTACCCGGAATACTTCAAACGAAATATGAAAACGCAGGAGATTTCGACAGTTAAGTTGGCGAAACGTCTTCAAAAAGTGTACGACAAACGGATACTGCGCGACGATTTTACCACCATCCCGTTTGGCAGCAAGCGCAGACTGTCACACGTCTAAGGAACTTCTGTGTTAAAAGTGCATCAAGGTAAGCTTTTGTGGAAATTTCAACGTGATCACGATTTTATTTTGTGAAAGTGTAAGAATGGCTGTTGCCGATATTTCCATGATTGAATATGTTAAGAGGTTACAAACATTCAATAGTCTGAAATTAGTAGGTTTGAATGCGGAAGATATTGCCAAAGCCGGTTTTTATCATGTTTGGGGTGGAATGCGCTTCCGGTGTTTCTGCTGTGGAGTTGGAATTGAAGATTTACTCCCCTTTGAAGATATTAACGTTTTCCACGCAGTATATGCTCCACACTGCAGCTTTCTGAAGCATATCAAAGGCCGAGAATTTGTAAATGATATGCTACAAATAGACAAAGATTTGGATATGGTTTCGCGACGAAATTGGAATCGTAAAGTGATTCAGTTTTATTGCTCATGTGATGATGATGACGACGGCGATGTTGTAGACGGGTGTCAGCACTGACACGCGCTTACGAGAAAGTCTATTATAAAACAGCATCAAGGTAAGCTTTCAACAGCATAAACGAGTACCTTGCATTTCCAATACATTTCTTCGATTATTTTATATAAGTTTTCTTTGCAGCAGCAGCCATGGCTTCTCTTAAGCAACTTTCTATGAAGTACGAAAACGGTCCTGTGAAATGCTACGAGATTACCAAGACCAGTACCATCTGGATGGATACGTCCAACAATTCTTTACTGATAGGACGTGTGCCTGCGGACTCGGAAGGATACGAGCTTGCTAAAAGCAAGGGTATGCATTTGGATAGCTATGCAGTAACGAATCTGATTACTTTAATGACGGACGGGACCATTAAGAAAAATCTGGACAAAGCAACTATCACAAAAGCCGCTCAAGTCTTGTATCTGGAACTGGAAAGCAAAGAAATCATCGACATGCGTCTTGCTAACACAGCATTTGGTCGAAGTGTTACTCTGGAGCGCGAAGACTCACATATTACTTTGATGTACCGTACTTTGCGCGATGTCTGCGCTTTAGTTGCCGGTTTAATTAAACAGTAAAGCATGTGTGTGTGTATGTCTATCTGTTTAACGTCTTGGTTTTAGTTTTCTGTTCTTTTGTGTAACTGTTTCCTTTTTGTCTTTGTTTCAACTGATGGGCGAATGCTATTTCAATAAAGTGAACATGAAACGATCCGCGTCACGGTTGTCTGTTTACTAGAAAACAAAAACAAGAAAAAAGAGGGTTACACACCAAATTAGTACCAGTCTTAACTTGTATGTTGATATGCTTAATACAAGTTGACACTGGTGCTATTTTGGACAGTTGCTCTGATTCGCCAATTTTGAACCGTGTGTGCAAGTACGAGTGTTAAGTGACCAGTAGGACCATTCTCGCAAAATCCAACTCGCTCAAAACTTATATAAAAGGAGCAGCACAATCACGACAATTTCATTTGATCATTTTTCAAGTTGAAACTCAAAAATGATTCACAACATTATAACTTCTGTAAAGTTCAGCTCTGAGTTAGATTTAAAGCACATCGCAAAACTTACGCCAACTAGGCTTGTGCGAAATTTCGACACTATCAACATGACCTCCGATGATGGATCCTTTTGTCAGTTGTATAAAAACGGTAAAGCCATTGTGAATGGAGGAAAATCCGAAAAAGAAGCCTGGAATTTGGTAAGAAAATACCAGGCGAGGCTTCGTCGACTTGGAATAAACGTCCACATCGCCGAACGGAAAATTGTGAATATTATGGCAACGTACTTGCATGGACAAGTCATCAATCTACACAAATTTGCCAAAGCATACAACCTATTTTACGAGCCAGAACTTTTTCCTGCTGTCCGGATCCGTCATGCCGATCTCAAGGTTACAATCAATGTTTTCCACACCGGAAAGTGCGTTATTCTTGGAGCAAAATCGAAGCGCGTTCTAAATGAAAGTCTGAATCGCCTGAAAGAATTATTGTCATCGGGGATGGAAGACGCAATAGATAACGAACTAGACACTGAAGAGTGGAACGCTTGGTTTGCCGATTTGGACAAAGCTGTGCAATCGTAGACCAAAATACGCTTTTCTACCAGTTTTACAAGTTGTGTTTTCTAAGAAACTCTCAATTCTGTGCTTTTGTAATGTAAAAACGGGAGTTTTCTGATTTCATATTTGGGAGTTTTTCGTTTTGTGTTTTCCATAGACTTAGCATAGTGTTTGTGTTAAAAACAGGCCTGTCATTTGTTCATGATTTTGGAGTTTTTTATCGAGCTAACTTGCATCATGAAACGTGCCAAATTTTCACTGTGAAGAAACCAATAAATTGCCAAAAAAAAAAAAAGGAGATTTGTTTCGCATAATCTATTTAGGGTATAGCTGCAAACACCAAATTTAACAAACAATTGGCAAAAATGGACCGCATTTCTTTTGATTTTCGGTTTAAAACACCATGCAGTGTCTATATTTCTGGACCAACCATGTCCGGAAAGTCAACACTGACTATGCAGTTTCTGCAAAATCCACAGAGATTTTTCTACCCAGCACCATCACGAATTGTTTATGTCTATGGTGTATGGCAGACATCGCTTACAAAACTGCATCCTTCCTGTAGAGTTAGTTTCGGATCTGAACAAAATATTCGATGAGCACTTTTTTAATCCAAATGTACCAACATTATTAATTTTGGACGATCTTATGGATGAAATTTCGAATAATTCAAAAGCATCGGCGCTTTTTACTAGGGACGTTCATCACAAAAATGTCACTGTTATTTTTCTTTCACAAAATTTATATAAGCAAGGCAAAAGTATGCGCGATATTGCACTAAATGCTCAATATTTAATCATTTTCAAAGCCGTTCGAGATGTTCAACAGATAAAAGTTCTATCAAGGCAGCTGGGAATGAAATTTCTGGAGCAAGCTTACAGAAAAGCTATTAAGGAGCCTTTTGGATACCTTTTACTTAACTTGCGCCCTGAAACACCAGACCAATTGCGTGTACAATCTCACATTTTATCACACCGTCGAATATATACAGAATGAGTCCTAAAGAAATTTTCGAAGTTGTACGTTCTCTACAGCAAATGAAACCTATCCAACGACGTCATTTTTTCACTCATGCTTCTAAAAAACAGATTCGAGGAATCGAAGAGGCTTGTCTGAACTTACTTAAAAATCCTGTTGGAGTATCTAAAGTTGATTTAGCCCGCGTGAAGCAGTATTCAAAATCTATTAAGCGTCTAGCCAATCGTCAGCACAACAAAAAGATAAAACAAAGAATTCTTACACAAAAAGGGGGATTTCTCGGTGTTTTGCTACCAGTTCTCGCTACACTTTTAACTTCTTTTATTAAATAATGAAAACATTTGTGATAGTTCCCGAAACCGAGTATGCACGCCTTACTAAGCCATGTCCAAGTGTGTGGACAAAAGCTGCGAATGTCGAGAGTGCTATTGGTAAAAATTTGCAGCAAAACGCAATGCCTGACCCCGTCACGGAAGCTCAACTGGCCAATCGTAATGTACCGCCTGCTATATCACACCCCCCTCCAATACCCCCTCCAATGATACAAGACACCGTTCAACGTATTTTACCGTCGCGTCCACAAACATACGATTACGGTGCTCAAGTTGATTCTCGTGTACCATCGCATGATTACGGCGTGCAAGTTGAAACAGCACCGCAAGTGCGATATATTCAACAAGAGCGGCCTGTGATGTATGATCAGCAGGCACAAGCTGAACTTGCGCCGACTATCCATTACGTACAATCAGAACCTGTGGTACAGTACATACAAAGTGACCCGGTACTAGTACAAGTCCCCAGCGCACCTATTACAAAATATGTTCCAGTGCCAAGTAAACCAGCAATAAAGTACGTCTATCGTAAAGGTAAGCCGCAAGCGCCAGCGCTGTCCAAAAAGTCAAAACAGCGCAAGTATATTTCACGCATGGATGTCGACCAAGAAAATTTGCCGGCAATTACCGAAACTCAAGCAAATCCAGATGTAACCTTTCCTCCGGATGGGTATTTGACACATTTATCCTATAGCCAAGTATCAAACCACACACAGCCCGAGATTGCTTTTCATCCTCCAAATAGCTTAGAGTACAGAAGCCCATCACCAGGCACTTTAGCAGCTGCCGATGCAGCCCCAGTAAGTATCGTGGACTTTCCCGATAGTGATGACGATCAAGCTTACAATGTACAATCTCTTCCCGCATCGACCAAAGTAAAAGCAATAAAGCACGCTAGAAAAACTCAGCAGCATGCACTTGAACCAGGACCCAAAATACCGTCACTAGAATGGCGCAAAACGCATAAGAGCTTAAGTGCTCCAAGTGCTAGAAAAGCACTTATGCCTCCCTCTCCAACAAAAACACTAGTCTCTTTAAAGAAAACTGTTATCCCTGCAATAAAGTACAATCCGGATAAAATTGTAAATAAGCCATTAAGGAGGAAAAAGGCGGCTGAGTACCCATCAAAGAGATTACGTACAAAGTCACCAGATCGCCAAGCAGGCGGCTGGATCTTGTTTAAATAAAAAATGGTCGATCTAGACGATATTTATTTGAATCCTGCAAATCCTGGAAGTTTAGGCGGTCTAGAAAGGCTGCTAAAAGAAGCTAGCAAACATGGTTTCACACGCAAACAAGTAGCACGGTATCTACAGTCGAAGGATACGTACACACAACACAAACCCTATAAATCTAAATTCAAGAGGAGAAAAATAATATCCGTTGATATAAATGATCAGCACCAAATTGATTTGGCTGACATGCAAAAGTTTGCAAAGCAAAATAATTCTGTCAGGTATCTGCTAGTATGTGTGGACTGCTTTTCACGATATGCTTGGGCAATACCGGTCAAGTCGAAAAAACCTGTGGAAATTTTACACGCATTAGCCGGAATTTATAAAGAAAGAGGACCACCACTACGCTGCCAAAGCGACAACGGCAAAGAATTTGTGGGCAAGGAAATTCGCAAATTTTTTAAAGAGTGCAATGTTATTTTCTTTACAACAAAA